ATAGTGTCATGGGGAACAATCACCATAGTTTAGCTTTCTACTTCTTTAGCTAACTGCAGTGTACTTGCATGGCCTTCACCTTTCTTGTGTAAAGAAATTATTTTCTTTCTCCGGCCTTGTGACATTTCTCTTCCATGTGGTGCCATTGCTGACAGCATGAAATGGGAAGGGTTTTTATTTGTTAAGTAATGCCCTTATAATCAACTGTCTGCTGGATACCTGTTTAATGAATAATTAGACTCACTTGTAGTTTAATTCTTGGTAATTAGGATTTTGTTGTTTAGAATTTTGCTTTGCTGCTAAGACTTTCATCAGGGCTTCGGGGTCTAATCATTTTTGCAACATGATCTTGAATGAATTTGTTAGGAAAAATACTTTTTTGTGTGCAAATTAACTAATCTTGTTTGCAATCAACGACTCACATTTTCGGGAGTACTTTGTAGTATAGTGTCCCATAAAAATATGTTGATTCTGAAAGGAAAGTAAAGGTTTTCTGACAAATCTGTAGGGGTGTACTCATTTAGGCTGAGCATTGTGTGTGTGTATGTGTATATATATATATATATATATATATATATATATATATATGCATACCTAAGACAGACATGCTCAAATACTGCAAATTTGGTCTTAAAGGAGAAGTAGTAAAAGCTGTTGTGGCTGTACTGTCCTATGGAGCACAGGATTGCAGTTTGTTCTGCATTCCTGTGACCTGTTTTAAGCCGACAGCAGGCTTTAGTGTCACTCAGTCGGTCCAGGCTTAAGAAAGATCCCGATTTTACAGTCAATATCCACCCAGATGCCTAGATCGGCGACTGGATCAGCCTCTCACCTGTGCCACTGAAAGCTGCAGAGACAGCTGCTCCCACCCCCTCTACAGCCCCATGCACCAGTGAGCACTGAAGGGGCAGAGCAGAGAGTCGGGGACTGACGGTCACTGCACTCTGCTCAGAGAGGAGTGGAAAACTGAGTGATCAATGCTGTTTGATCGCTCAATTCTCAGGGGGAGCCCCGGAGACAACTTAAGCTGGAATTGGTGCTGCAGCCATCTAAGTGAGTATGATTTTTTTTTTTTGCTATTTCCATACTTCTCTTTTAAGACCGCTTACCATTGTTCTAAATAATCACAACTAAATAGAGACTTTTGCCATGGCCCAAAATATCTAATACCTGGAAAAATATAGTCCACTTAGTGTCATTGTTCCTTTAAATTCATAAATTTATACTATAACCTTAACCACACTATTCTTATAAATAAAAGTGTTTTCCTCTTAAGCATAACAGCCGTGCCATGAATGAAAAGATCATCCTTTCAGATTATTGTTCAGCTTTCACATGCAATAAATGAGTAAGAACTCAAGTTAGTGCTAATGATTGCAGTAAAATCTGATTAGGCTGGAGAATAGTGCATACACGCCAATGTTAGTAATTTTGTAAAATAAATTTGTTGCATATTGACATTGCTCATCTGTTACATACATACTGCTGTTATTTGAATTCATATTTTATTGTAACATAGGAAAGTATATGATATGTAATAGTTTGTACTGTTTTTATAAATAATAAATAAATAAATAAACAAACTAAAAGACCAATTATATCCTGGAGTGAAACCTAGGGTACACAACTTTCTGCATTAGACCTTAGCAGGATTTATTTTTAACCGCTTCCCGGCCGCCCTATAGCAAAACTACTGCTACAAGGCGGCAGGGCTTTGCAAAATCACATATATACAGTATATATATATATACGTGATTTCGCATTTCAGGTAGGGGGTGCTGGCTACAAATGTTGATCACCGGGTCCCGGCTAGAGATTCCCTGCCAGCACCTGGTGATCGCCGAGTATCACTGATAAGGAAGAGACCTGTATGTAAACAACACAGGTCTCTCTCCTGCCAGCAGTAACATACTGCTGTGTATTTCTCTGCAGAGAAATACACAGCAGTATGTTTCCCTATTCAAACACACACAGCACTGTTAGTAAAACAGCACACAGCACACAGTTAACCCTTTGATCACCCCAGATGTTAACCCCTTTCTGCCCAGTGTCATTAGTACAATGTCAGTGCTTTTTATTAGCACTGATCACTGTATTAGTGTCATTGGGATGTCAGTGGCAGTTAGTCAGTTCCCCCAGTGTCAGAATACCTAATACGTTGCTGATCACCGCCATTACTAGAATAAAAAAAAAAATTCAGTATATATAGCGCCATTTGAAAATGCTATAACTTTCACGTAAACCAATTAATTTACAAATATTGGGATTTTCATTATCAGACATGTAGCAGAATGCATTTTGGCCTAAATTTATGAAGAAATTTGATTTTTAAAATTTTTTTACTGGATATGTTTTATAGCAAAAAGTAAAAAAAAAAAGTTTTTTCCAAAATAGTCGGTCTTTTTTTGTTTATAGCGCAAAAAAAAAAATCAATAACCACCGAAAGAAGGCTCTATTTGTGGGAAAAAAGGACATAAATTTCATTTATGTACAGCATTGCATGACAGTGCAATTGTCTGTTAAAGTAACACAGTGCCATGTCACAAAAAATGGCCTGGTAAGGAAGGGGGGTAAATCCTCTGGAGGGCAAGTAGTTAAAGAAACATATCTTTTAATCAATCTAATAAAAAGAATCCCACTTAACTCGGGGTGGCATTACAGTTTGTTCTGCAAGCTTTATCAGGGGAAGTCCTGGTATAAGTATGTGCTATAGAATCAGGTGTAATTAAGTAGCTGGTGTTTTATTAGAATCTTTCTGAAAAATAAAACTTATAAGTGATGTAAGTTGTTGAGTCATTCAATGTGCTTAGCCAAGTTTTTTATATCTATTTTCCAAATGGTCTATAAACAGGTGTTGCTTCCCAAAAATGAAAATCCAGGTTGGAAAATAATAAATCTACAACCCCACAACTGTTAGATATACTGTACATGTTATGTAAAGTGAACTTTTTCTTTGCCCATGCAGGGCAAATTAACATGTTCATCCAAATATGCCCTCACTCTCACTTTTCCTTAGAAAAGTCAGTCTGATTGGGGCTTACAGTGGGCTAAGGACAATTTGGCATCCAACTGACCACACTTGGGACAGCAGTAAAAGCGGAAATTGCTATTAACACTGAACTCCAGAAAGAAAGACATTTGTAACACCTAGTGTAGCATAGTAGAATGGAATTTATAATTCAATTGAGCCAGTCTTGTGAGCAAGACTCTCCTTCCATAAAGCACAGCCAGGTTCTGGACCTTTCTGTAGACTACATAGCATTTAGTATGGCATGCAGGTACCACCACACACTACATTGTACGGTAAATGAAAGACAGGCTTCAGCTCATATGCCAACCCATTGGTCACATCCCTCTGACATATTTCACTCACATAATAGTAGAGGGAGATTCTGCAGGCTGGGAGCAGCGCTAATCTGTTATGGTATTTGCAGTATATAGCATTTAAGCAATACAGCCTGGTCCAGAACTTGCCACATTCTGTGTACGGACAAAGAAGGTGCAGAAGCAAATTGATAAGCCCATCCCTAAGTTCAGAGTGCTTCCTTTCCCCTTTCATGGTCAGAGGGCTGCTGTGCAGGGGATTACAGGAGGAGGCCAGCATGAAGACGGATTCAGGTACTTATATACACTGATTACACTGTTCAACAGGTAAAAAGTTTTGGGCATAAAATTAGCTAATCTTACATAATTTTGGGGTGCTGAAAACGAAAATGACCCTAAAAAATGTTGATTGGCTCTAGTTTCCATGATATATTCACCCATCTAATGACGTAAGCCATTCAAAATTATGATGCAACTTCAGCTGCATATTGCGCAATTGATACTGGTGACCAATAGAAAATTGCATGTATACTGAGATGATGCAATATTAGCCTTTAATTGCATCACTTCACTGCATAAAAGCTGCAGTATCTGTAGCTGATTGTAGTTCGACAGCGTCTTTACATTTCGTTTTATGCTTATATAGGCTACTCAGTAATGCCTCGAACTTGTGTGAATAAAGCAGATAATTTCTGCTATATCTGCGGTGAAATAACTTTTATCTCACAAAAAAGGAGGATAACAGGAATGATTAAGAAAGCCTACAACTTGTATTTTGGCTGCAAGATAGGAGACCAGGACAAGAGCTGGGCACCACATATATGCTGCAATTCTTGTGGGACGGCACTGGAGCAATGGTTGAATGGAAAAAAGGCATCTTTGCCTTTCGCTGTGCCAATGATTTGGAGAGAGCCAACAGATCATGTTAGTAATTGTTACTTTTGTATGGTGCCTCCAATTGTAAAAGGGCTAAATAAGAAGAAAAAGTTATCTGTGCACTATCCAAATATTCCATCGGCAATACGTCCAGTTCCTCATGGAGAGGGGCTACCAATTCCTAAAGCACCAGAATCCTTCGTGGTTGAGTCAAGTGAGGAAGAACCTGAAGCGTGTAGTCACGTGCAGTTGTAAGAGATAGCCCTTTCCTCGAATACAAGAGAAAAGCCAAGAGAAGCAAAACCGACACAAACTGAAGACAAAACTAGTGAGAATCCTAAGTATTAAAATGATTCAACTTAGCTTATGGCTATAATTTTTCTTGGTAATCCTATGCAATATATTATGCCATTTAGGCTTTGTTATGTAGTCAATATCACTTGCTTTATATTTGTGGAAAGACATCTATCTATATAATTATTGTGCATTATGTAGTCATTATGCCTATAGTAGAAAACTTTCCGTTTACAGAAAAACTAGAGCCAGTTGACAAATTTCATTGTTATATTTGAACTCAGAATGTGAAATTCATTAAGAAATGGATCCTTTTGTTTCCAAAACTGGCAAAAAAAAAATTTGTTGAACAGTGTTATATGTAAAAACCTATTTCTTTTTTTTAAAGATATTTTAAGATAAGGGATATTTTTTATATCTTGCCTGAAATCAACTTTAAAACAAACACTGCATAATTTTGCTTAATAAAAACTGCATTAACATTAATATTTCTTTACTCCATAGATATGGATACCAAACAATGTAGTCTCTGGATGTTTCTACCTCTTGTAATGTCTCTATTTACCACAGTCGGCTTATGGATAGTGTAAGTATAGGTATAACATGTTTTTGTTACCCTTCACTAATCATTTAGGGGGAGATTTACTAAAACTGGTGTACACAGAATCTGGGAAAGCTCTGCACAGCAGCCAATCAACTTATAGGTTTTATTGTCAAAGCTTAATTGAACAAGCTGATTGGTTACTATGCACAGCTTTATGAGATTCTGTGTACACCAGTTTTAGTAAATCTACCCCATAGTGTTGACATTTACCACAGTGTACGGTGATCAATTTATTCTGAACACAATTAAAGGGGATTCTCTGAAAGATTCAAAATCTCATCACATCTTCTGGCTCCCCCATAAAATGGGAACAAAAAGAGAAAAAAAGTTCTTAGCAGCTGCAGTGGTGCCACCTTAGCTATCGCGTAATTCATTAGAGCAAAGAATCAGAGACAACACAAATTGGGCTGCACACCACAGACTGTTCAGAATAGCAACATCATTTATATTAACTAAAAAAATTAACAAATAAAAATATTATTATATAGTATTTATATAGTGCCAGAAGGTTTGCTCAGCGCTGTACATTATAGTGGGGGACAGAACGTGAGACAATACAGTAACAAAACAATACACGAGGGGTTCGAGGGCCCTGCTCTTTCGAGCTTACAATCTAGGAGGGAGGGGGTAGTGGTAAAACATCACTGTTCTCCAACAGGTTTTTGGTACAGGAAAACTTGTGGTACAGGAGGAAGTGGCTGTGGGGGATGGAGTGGTAGGGTAGGTGGGGTAGGCTTCCCTGAAGAGATGGGTTGTCAGGGTGCGCCTAAATGTGAGGAGGGTAGGTGACAGTCTGATGGATTGGGGTAGTGAGTTCCAGAGGATGGGGGAAGTCCTGGAGAAGTCCTGCAGTCGGGCGTGGGAGGAGGAGACCAGGGAGCTAGAAAGTAAGAGGTCTTGTGAGGAGCGAAGAGTACGGGTTGGGTGGTATTTGGGTATCAGGTCAGAAAGGTAGTTTGGGGCTGTGTTATGGATGGCTTTGTATGTCAGTGTTAGTATTTTAAATTTAATGCGTTGGGCAATCGGAAGCCAGTGGAGGGAATGACAGAGGGGGGTGGCAGAAGTGGAGCGGTTGGTAAGGTGGATGAGTCTGGCCGCTGAGTTCAGGATAGACTGAAGTGGGGATAGCCTGTGTTGGGGTAGGCCGGTGAGAAGGGAGTTGCAGTAGTCCAGACGTGAGATAATGAGGGAGTGAACGAGTTGTTTAGTAGAGTCTGGGGTTAGGAATGTATGTATTTTGGAGATGTTGCGGAGGTGGAGCCTGCATGAGTTTGCCAGCAATTGGACATGGGGTTGGAAGGACAGGTTTGAGTCTAGAGTGACACCTAGGACTTTGGCTTGCGGGGTGGGACTGCTGGTGGCGTTGTTGGTCGTGATGTAGAGGCTGGGGGGGGGGCGCGGGGGGGGGGGGTAAATTAGGAGCTCGGTTTTGGAAAGGTTCAATTTGAGGAAATGGAGCGACATCCAGTCTAATATGTCGTTCAGTAGGTGGGCAATACGGGCGGAGACTGAAGGGGTGAGGTGAGGGGTGGAGAAGTAAATTTGCGTGTCATCGGAGTAGAGGTGATCGTTGAAGCCCTGGGAGTGTATCAGTTTGCCGAGGGAGGAGGTGTAGATGGAGAAGAGAAGGGACCCGAGGACAGAGCCTTGGGGGACCCCAACAGAGAAGAGGAGAGAGGGGGAGGTGGTAGCGTTATAGGTAACGCTGAAGGAGCGTTGGGATAGTGTCAGGGCTCCGGGTGTGACCAGAGGTATGTGAACTGACGCAGGGAAACGCAGGCTTCAGATATGTGTTATAAACAATATAATTTATTAATACTAACAATACATAAACGCAGTGCAATACTAAAACATAACACAGTGCAACGAACCAAACCAAACCACCCACAGATAACAATACATACAATGCAAGCGGAGTCAGGCAGGCCGGGTCAATAACAATCGGGCAGGTAGGAACAGGAGGAGCAGGCAGAGAGTAGTCAGGTCACGAGCCGGGTACAGCAACTAATGGGCAGGTAGGTACAGGGGGTCAGGCAGAGAATGGTTGGGGTCACAAGCCAGGGATCAAACAGGAGAAGTGAGCAGAGGTCTGGATCAGGCAGGGTCGGCAACAAATCAGTCAGACAGGAACAGGAACAGGAATGCAGGTAACAAGATACAGGGGCCCATGGAAAAACACACACCAAGGCACAGAATGCAGGTCTGGCCATCCCTTAAATACACCTGCAATCAGCCTCAGGTGTTTTGGCTGACTGCAGGGTTGAGTCTCTGATTGCTGAGAGCACCCGCTGGCCAGCCCTGGTACTGCAGCCCACAAGGCAGGTGAGTCGAAGGCGACGGAGAGGTCGAGCAGTAGGAGGACTGAGTAGTGGCCATTAACTTTGGCGGTTAGCAGGTCATTAGTGATTTTGAGTAGGGTGGTTTGCGGTGGAGTGTAGGGGACGGAAGCCAGACTGTAGTGGATTGAGGAGGTTTTTGTCAGTGGGGTGGGAGCTTAGGCGATTGTAGACTAAGCACTCAAGGAGCTTGGATGTAAATGGCAGCAGGGAGATGGGTCTAAGGTTGCTCAGGTTGGTGGGGTTCAGGGAGGGTTTTTTTGAGTATAGGGGTGATGTACGAGTGCTTTAGGGGGGAGGGGAATGCGCCAGTAGAAAGGGAGAGATTGAAGATGTGAGTGAGGGAGCGTAGGATGGAGGAGGAGGGTGACCGGAGGAGTTGTGTGGGGACAGGGTCAAGGGGGCAAGTGGTGAGGCGGGCTTCTGAGAAGACCATAGTGACCTCCTTAGTGGTAGCAAGGCTGAAGGAGCGGAGTGTTGGGGAGGTTATAGTGTGCAGGGTGTTAGGTGTGGTGGGGGGCAGGGCAGTTGCGAGGTCAGGGGAGGGGAGAGTTGATGGGGTTATAGTGGGAGGGAGGCTAGGTGGGGAGGTAGATTGAGTATTGGTGATGTACTTACGGATTGCATCGATCTTATTTTCGAAGTGATTGGCAATCTCGTGGGCGGTGAGTGAGGTACTGGGTGGAGGTGGGGGGGGAGAGTAGGGAGTTGAAAGTGGAGAAGAGCCGGCGAGGACAGGTGGAGAGAGTGTTGATGAGGGTTATGAAGTAGGCTTGATATAGCATTATAGCAAATATAGCATTCTTTAAAAAAAAATTAAAAACCATGAAAGCACAAACCAAATATACAACATATTATTCAAACTCCTTTAAGAATGAAGCCGGCACCAAATGTAATAAATAAAAACATATTGGCATCCACAAATAATCTCATTGATGCCTAGACTGAGTTTAATAGAGTGTTGTTGAGTGTTGTTTACAAGCAAAATGTACCAAGATTAACTAACAAATTAATTAAAGTGGTTTCAAACCGAAAAGCAAACCTTTATTATATTGCAGTTTACAAATTCTGCTTATCAGATTACCAATTCCAGATTTTCACCTGGTGATCTGACCAGTAAGTATGTTGTTTTTAAAGAAATAAGCTCTCCTGCAGATGTAGCAGTTACAGAGATGAGACACAAAGCATTTAACACTGACAGGGGTGTTTACAGTGATCAGCTTTTATTTATTTAGTATCATTTAATGCCTTATTTCATTGCTAGATACAGCATTTTTGTTTTACTAATTAGTTATATTTATTTATTTTCACTTGCCTTTATCTCAAAAGGAAAACACTATTTGCTGTAACTGAATGTAAAGTGTGAGCCGAAATTTGGCTTCAATTTGTTAGGGTATATAAATCTGCTAGTACATCTAACACTCCCCTTCCCCCAGACTAACAATGCTGCTGTGCAAAGGTGCCCCAGTGCTCATTTATCCAGAGTGGGGACACTCTAATACAAGAGATGTGTTACTGGCTAGTTCACAAAATGAAAACAGAGGGAAAAAAGCCTAAAGAAAACTAATGTAGTCACCACATCTAATGATTGGTAAGCTGCAATACAGTATATTACATTTTTGGCTTTGGGTTTAATAGTGTTTTACCTCATTGCAAATAAACCAAGTAATCAGTGTAAAAAAGGATAGAAAAAAATAACCTAAAGTCCAATTCATTTTACACCACTTGTCACCAAAGCATTAGTGCGCTCTGGTGCTATTCATTGTAAATGACACTGCAACACACCTTCAGAAGGCATATGCTCTGCAGCACATTGCAACTCAGCACTAAACACAGGGACAGGATATAAATCAAAACTGGAACAACCAGAATCTGGAGCTGATGTGTATGGATCATCACCTTAGTGAAATGGAATTTTCACAATAACACGTGTGCTGCACCACACAACACTTGTTAATGGGCCCCAACGCCTTAATATTTGTAACACAACATGTAAGGACAAGAACGCCAGTGAAAATAAATCAATGTAACTAATCAGTAAAACAAAAATACTGTATCTAGCAATGAAATAAGGCATTAACGTGATACTAAAGGATATATACAGTTGCAAGAAAAAGTATGTGAACCCCTTGGGATTACGTGGAGTTTTGCATGAATTGGGCATAAAATGTGCTGTGAACATCATCTAAGTCACAACAATAGAAGAACACAGTCTGCTGAACATAATACTACACAAACATTAGATGTTGCCATGGTTTAATCGCACATAACAAGTAAACATTCACAGTGCAGGGAGGAAAAAGTATGTGAGGCCCTAGCTTAATGACTTCTCCCAGAGCTAATTGGAGCCAGGAGTGAGCCAACCTTGACTCCAATCAGTGTGATGATATTGCATGTGTTGCTGACAGCTGTCCTGCCCTTAAAAAACACACACCTGTTTTGGGTTTACTGGTTTCAAGAAGCACTGTCTGATGTGAACCATGCCTCGCAGAAAAGAGCTCTCAGAAGACCTACGATCAAGAATTGTTGATTTACATGAAGCTGGAAAGGGTTACAAAAGTATCTCCAAAAGCCTTGATGTTCATGTGTCCACGGTAAGACAGACTGTCTACAAATGGAGAAAGTTTAGCACTGTTGCTACTTTCC